ATTACCATAGCTCGCTATCATAAGCCTTTTATTCAAGCCTTGGAATCATTTTACACTTGACTGTATGCTTATCGCATGTACTATCGGACTAGGAGCATCATGCGCGTCGGAGGATGTGAACGTCATATCAAGGAGATTAGACCCTTCCACTATAGACTTGGAAACATAGACTTGAAATTACGAGTGGATTCCAGCAGCCACTCGGATCTTGGAAAGCATGATAGATTTACTCTCCCTGACGACAAGAAAATTTGAGGACAGGAAAATCGAAAAATGAAAAAAATAAATTAAATTTGAGGAAAAAAATAAAAAATCGTGGGGTGCCGAAAAACCTGCAGATATTTCGAGAACAAATATACTATATAAATTCTATATAAATAATCAATGTTAAACGGTGTTTTGACGCAGAACAATTCACAGAGCCAACAGCCTACAGTTGCCTCGATTTTCAATTTTCGCCATTTAACTTCGGTCAATTTCCATATATATTTCGCCATAATTACTCCTCCTTTAGACTACTTTCCATCGCCGAATGTAAAAAATGTTAATCTTACACATATCACATTTAATTCATTCTTCAAACGTTTAATGAAGTTTATTACCATAAATAATTAAACCATAAATTATATATAGATATATGGATTTTAAAGAAAAATTTTTTATGGATCCTGCAACATGAAACATTGTTGGATGTTGTATTCTCTCTGGAAACATCGTTTATGTTATATTCCAGTTCTAAATAATAAATGAGAAAATTTGCAATAAAAGAAGGACAAAATCAACGAAATTTAATGTTTAAAATAAAAATTTTGCATCAATTATCGTTACCAATAAGTTTTTATAAATTTTTTTGAACAATTTTATTTTGCTGTCGTTACAACACTCCAATTTTTGAAAAAAATGCATAGAAATTGTTAAAATGGCTTAAAACGAAAGAAAGAATTTCGACAATTCTTTTTATTAGCATTAATTCACTTCATATCACTTTAATTCTTTAATACTCTTTATTTTCGCCAATATTGAATTTATTTAAGCCTATTTTAATCAATTTTTAAACCTAAAGAAATGCAATACATCGCTTCTTATAAAAATATGCAAACTAAGGTGTTCAAATGTTTAATTTTTAAGAAATATTTTTAAACATTTTAAAAAACTTAAATATTCCAATTTGAAATTAAATTTTAAGTGATTATCCAAGTTATTAATTATTAGAATTTTATAAAATTATCAGATATTTATATTTTTTTGAAAATATTTTCAGATGGAATTCTTAATTAAATCCGATTAAAAATCCGATTTTTATTTTTTTCAATTTCCTAGCAACTATGGATCAATCGAATAATTGACTTTTTGATGAATTATTTGATATTTGTACTTAATAGCGAAATAAGATAAGACGATTTTTTATGCATAGAATGCCTGCTTATTTATCCAATTCATTCATTCATCTAACTTTTTAGGTTTCTAGTGGAGTCGAGTGAATCGCCAAAACTCCTAAAAAATTTTTAAAAAATTTCATTCATTTCTGGTCACATATGTGGCGAAGTTTTAAAGAATTGCAACTTGAAATTGGAAGGTCAAATTTTATCAAATTGTTATTTTTTTATAACAATAGTTTTAATTTATTCATTTAAAAACTTTTTCTTCGTTTGAATCAAGAACTATTTTCCCGTTAGTTTAATTCTGAAATCTTAAATTATTGTTAAACGATTTTGGTAACAGATAGGGCGTTTCTTAATGTTTTTTCATTATAAAGCAAAAGATTTTTTAGTTTGGTACTTATCTAATAGGGATTTAAGGACCCTTAAGGTGTCGTAAACTTAATAATAACAAACCACAAAGGACAATAAATCTCCTTAGGGCACAATAATTTTTAATTCAAATTTTTAAAATTTTTGATAAATTATAGATTTGCGCTAATAAGAGAGTATTAACGAACTATTCGATTCATCGGCAATTTTCACCCATTTCTTATAAATTCCTTTTTTTTAACTTCGCCAATACTTTATCCAAGCAGAAAATTAGTCAAATGTTTTAATTATTATATCGTTTTACGATTTCATAAACTTCAAATGATAAATTTATTTTTCTTCTATCTTTTTCTAATGCTGCGGACAATTTCTTTCATTCGTAAGATTTAAAGGTTTAAATGAGAATTATTTCTAGGAAAATTCTCTTCTATTTTGATAAATAATAAAGGTGCGAATGTCAATACCTGGCTCTAATTAACTTAGATCTTCTTCACTTTGATGCTTTCTAACGAACGTTTATTTTCTTCTGTTCATCTTTTTTTAGAATTATTTGAAAGCCTTTTTGATCCATTCGTGCATTAGTCTGGAAGGTTCGCGAATTCTCTTCATTGCATCTTGCATTTTGTACGAAATTTTCTTTATAAAAGGTTCATTTCCAAGTTTTTTCACACCATAATGTTCTTCACGGCTTTCGATGGAAACCTGTGTTTTCTAAAAATATTGCAGAAATGTGGAGAAATCTGATTTTCTTTTCATTTCTGCTTTGAAATATTTAATTATTTAATTATTCTCAAATAAGAAATGATATACAACAAAGCATTTACTGAGCTTTATTCATACGATGTATACTTTTAAAATGGTATAGCTTATAAATTATTACTGTAGTGCCATTTAATATTTCTTTCTTCTTTTTCTATCAGCCTTCGTCATTACTGGTTAGGCTGGATGTGTTAGCTACATTTCTAGACTTCGATCCGATGACAGCAATAGAAACCATTCTTTTTTCCATCATCTAAATCCATATATTGCTGGATTTTCAGAATCTTTATTAACTCTGTCAGTCCAGGTCTTTATTGGCTCTCCTTGTTTTTGACGCCGTTACTCACAGGCTTAGCAAGTAACGAAATATATGCCAAATCCTAAAAGAAGTGATGCTCTGTGATGGTGCTATTAATGCTGATGGGAAGAACGATGAGTAGAGGCGGATCAATCATAAATCCATGAAGGATCCATAAAGGTTCCGTCAACCTGAAGAAAGTATTTCTTGTATAGCAATGTAATTTTTTAAAATCTGGCACTTTCTAAACCGGGAATGAATTGATGAAAATAGGTCAGCTTGTGGTATATAAACGAAAAGGCTTTAAATGAAATGATCTTTGTTTTACTTACATTGATTGATGATTGATGGTGTGTCTGACTTTTGCTGTAGTTGTCGACATATTGTTTAGGATTATTTGCATTTCGGTTTAAATCTTCTGTCAGGAAAAAGGATCACAACATCACACATAGCGTATTTTACTATGCTCTCGACTGATTTATGCAACCAATGAATACCAACAAGCGATGTTATACATACTCTATAGCATAGCTGAATATTGTAGGGCGCAGGCTTGACGGCCAATAGTTTTTGTTTCGAACGAGTCTATCAGTTCCACATACAACAGACCTGTGCCGATGTTGATAAAATGCCTTAATAAGTCGAATGATCTGAACGCCATCACCTTCATCACTCTTCAAAGTGCACTTCTCTTAATCGAATCGAAGGCAGCTACAAATTCAATGAAATAAGCGACGGTAGGTTGCTGATTTGAAGGGATGTTAGGATGTTCCCTTATTAACGTAAATATTTGGTCAATGCAACCTTGTCCAGATCCGAATCCAGCTTGGTTGGGATGCATCCTGTTATCTCGTACTGCCATAAGTCTATTCAGTAGAAGAGATTTTTCCGAAAATTTTCTCTATCTATCTATTTTGCGTTTAGAAAAACAAGTGCATCGAAGAAGTTAAATTGAATTTAAATTACCGTGTAGAGAAGCAAAATCTTTGTTGCTTAGGTTACGCATTATTATCAAAGAGGATAATTTCAAGTGATGTGGTGTTGTTAATCGTCCTTTCTATAAAAATATTCGTAATAAAACTTAATTTCTTCTCATTTCGTTTTCTGTAATTTATTCACCTTCCGTTCTTTTTCTGTTCCGTAGAGAAATATCTCTTTGTCATTATTTATCATTATTTAACGATTTATAACCGCGTTATGAATTTTTGAAATTTTGTTATCCAAAAATGGATGAAAAATTTATAAGCCTTAAGGGGTTTAAATATGTAAACTAGTTGAATTTGTTGGTCTTAGAGGACTTCAGTAAGAGAAACTATGTGAGAAATTGATCCAATCCAATGACTTTATCCATAAGTTTATTTCATCGGCGAAATTCGCAAAAAATCAATTCTCATTTGTTGACATAAAATTCCATAAAATTCTATTTTGTTAGGCAATATAAATTCGTTTAATTAAAATTAAATTTCATTTCTAATTAGGCGAATAAATAAAATTGGATTCATAACCATATTTCTAATTTTCGTATGCATCTTTTATCTTTTAAAAAATTTTTTTAAAATTTGGAAAAATTAGCAATCGCAAGAAAATTTAAGGAATATTAAAGAAATATTTGGGGTAATATAGCCGAATTGGAAGTGGCTGAAAACATGGTCTTGAATGGTCTTCGCCTTTTACACCCATTAGGAGTAAAACCATTAAAAGGTACTAGTGGTGATGATGACCCACCTGTGATTAAGTGATAGGGTTCCTACCAAAAATTGCTAATAACAACCAAAGTAATAACAACCAGAGGATTATCTAAGCAGAAATGATGAGTGCTAACCACATTATTTATTTTATACGAATATTTCCAAAGATTTTGCAAAACCATAAATGAACAATTTCAGTAGCGTTTGCAATTCACCAACCAATATAACTCGGGAAACTGAACAAGAGCCTCGTATTGATAATACGATTCCAGTAAATTTCTCACCAAATCAAAACGATTTTACAAAAGTTGAAGATAAATCAACGATTTCAAGAACTTTAAAAAAACCTTCAGTAGTGAAACAAATGGTATGATTGCTTATAAATAATTGTTTATAGATAAATAAATAAATTTATAGATAAATGAAAAAAAAGTCGAAAAAATTTGTTTCGGAAATTTTTTAAATAATGAGAATTTCTTGATTCTGCTTCAGGCAGCAACCTTCTTGGAAGGCGATTCACTTCGTGAAGAACCTGAACCACCCAGCACCGAGGGAATCGATTACGCTCGGGCAGCTTCGTGGGCAGGTAGCTCAATAGGTGATGTATTATCTGATGAAAAGGGTATGAAATTTTTCCAGTTCACATCTCTCCAGGTTTAGATCGAATGCAATTAAATGTATTTCTTCATTAAAATTTCATTTATTTGCAGGCCGTCAACTTTTACGTGTATTTTTGCACGATGCGTTGGCAGAAGAAAATTTAAGCTTCGTTGAATCAATTGAAAAATTGCACCGTATGAATGATCCAGCTGAAAAGAAGAAATATATAGAACAATTTCTAAGTGAATGTTCACCATATATTAATATCAGTAGTGCTGCTATGCAGGTCGCGATTATAATCGAAATTTTTTCGAAATATTTGCAAAAAAAGGCGATTACATCATTAGATTTTTATCAGATTTGTCAGATGGAGGGCTCAATTAGCATTCTTTAACAAGTGAAAGTATTTTAATTCAAGTGAAGACAATAAAGGGGGTGGGAGTAGAATGGCTCAGTGGGTTGTTGCCCAGTTCAGAGCGCCTATGCTGAGGTTCCATTCCCCGCAGGAGTAAATCTGTCCAAAAATCCGGATGATGCTGGCGACTCACTTGTACTTCTATCACCAAGGGAATCCCTAGCATATTTGTCCAGTGCGACAAGCAAGCTAGTGGAGCGAGTTTAATAGGTAATGGTGAGGACTTTTAAAAAAAAATGGTAACAAGAAAAGAAAAATTAATGGATATTATAAAAAATATTTATAATGTCTTACCATGATATTTGTTGTAATTATTTTCAGCAGATTAAATCAGCAGCAACATCAGATGATCCAGATCCAGCTGCATTCAATTTGGCCGTTAAAGAAGTTAAACGCCTTCTAGAGAATGATCAATTTCCGCGATTTAAGCGGTCCGAAGTTTATATAAACTATCTAGAAAAACTTTTACCAAGATCTCATGCTGAAAGATGGGCAACAAATTTTGAAGCTTTGCTTGGAAATCAGGTGTCATCTTATTTCTGAATCATAGATCATCATAGATATTTCTGAATCATAATCAATATATATATATATATAAATATATATATATAAATATATACATATATGAAATTTCTGAAATATGTGAATTTTAGATGTAGCTATTTTTATAGATTTCTTATTTCATTTTTTCCTTAACTAACAATTATACTAAATTAGCAATTAGGTAAACTTATTGTGTAAGTAATATTAATTATGCAAGAAATGATTTGAAGCAAAATGATTTTTTGAGTCATAAAAACTACATATAATTAATTAATATGAATGAAGCGGTGAATATTATTTTTTTTTTCATTTTTGCCTTGGATGGCTTCACTAGTTGTTTATATCAGATCTCTTCATCAGAGATCTTAGACAAAAAATTACGATATATCAAATATTCTGAGTACCATACCACCCGAATTTCACTTTAAATAACTGGTTTGTTCATTTAAAGGGGAAGTATTGAACCCAGCTTGATTTTAGTCGAAGCTGTACCATTCGATATAATGGAATATTTGACATAACTAAATACCTAATGGTAAAAGAAGGCAACTTTTTAATTAAAGCTATGAACAAATAAAAAATTTAAGAAACTAATGAACCCTCTTTTCTCGGAAATCTTTTCATTTTAACGTTATTTCTAATTAAGGCATTTCTTTTCGCATTTAATGATGATGAATATAACATAAATATAATAATTATATCGAATAAAAATTCCGACAGAAAAATGGATTTCATATATGTGACATTTATTTGTGGAATTTAGATTGGGCGGCATTACTTTCGACTTTTCCTACGAGGAATTCATGCTGAAGAAAATTTACGCTTCTGGGAAGCTGTGGTTGAATTTAAGCAAATGAAAAATAAAACTCCTGCGATGATAAATCTTGGAAGGACCATTGTTCAGCAGTATTTAGCTGAAGGAACTCACAATGAAGTAACTAAATAACCAATCTAATCCATGCACACTATTATGATAGAAATATTTTGCAAGTTCTGTTTTCCTAACGTTTTTTCGTACAGATCTTGCAAAAACTTTTGTCTCATTAAAAATACCCATTGAATTTCATTTAGTTCTAGTTTTGAACTAAAATTCAAATCTTTTTATGGTTAAATCGGCGTGAAATTGCATTGAAAATGTTTCATTAAATTTTTCATCCGGAAATGGAAAATAAAGTCAGATTTTTTTCAGGTTTTTTTACCATTTGGCTTACGTCAATCAATCGAGAAAAAGTTTAGCGACAATGAAGTCGATAAAACACTATTTGATGAGGCAGTAAAACATATTGAGCAAGTTCTTAAAAACGATCCGTATATCCGTTTTCTACAGTCGAAGGAATACCTCGGTTTGCTGGAAAAACTGAAATAAACATCCAGTTTTTCCTAAAACAGTGGATTAAAACCTTAACGAAAAATTTCGTTGTTTTCAGAATAATTGTCAAGAAACGGCTCAAATCAATAATTATATACAGTTAAAAATTGTCTAGAATTATAATTATCAACAAATTTTATTTTATATAGTTTCATTCAACAATTAAAATCTAATTTTTGAGAAATCTAATATAACAGATTTTAAGAAGTCAAAATTATCAGCCATCAAAAAAGTTTTCGATTCCAGTCTAAATTTGACTTAGACAAAATTCAAGTAAAATTAAGTAACTTATCGGAGAAGCATTTTGATTGGTAGATATCTATGTTAAATCTCTATCACTGAGATCTTCATTATAAAAAGTGTTTAGCATACTGTAGTTGGTCACCGAATGGAAAGAAAATTTTGTGAATGTTTTATATTTTATAGATAGTTAATATCTTTTCTGCCAATTTTTTGTATAATTATGATCGGCTACATGTGATTATTTTTTGTTACACGGGGATGGATTGAAGGTTTTTTGAAAATTTTTTTGCGAAAATTGTAAGAGTCCGATGGCTAAGTAATTTATTTTATGAGTGAATTTCAAGTTAAAGAATAGTTTAATAAAATCCTTCATTCATGAATTTGTCTTATCCTTTGGTTACATTTACATTCATTCTTTCGTTTTCACTAATTCTTATTGTGACATTAAAACTTCATTGTTCACTTTTTTTAAAATTCATTTGGTTCACTCCTACTATTTTTTTAACTCATTTTAGCGTAAAATCACTTCATTGATGTATTTTCTCTTTACAAATCCACATAATTTTTATATTTTCTATTTATATCCCTTAAACATAATTTATTTCTATATGATCTCATTGATAATATTCGTATGTTTAAAATCCATTGATTTACCCTATAGTTTTTTATAGTTTACCTCTTTTAACATAAGCGAATAAATTCTTGTAAAAAATTTTGTGCTCTTATTGCCACAAAAGGCAGCTGGGATAAGATTGAGGCTAAGCATATCAATTATTAACCATTTTAAAGGTCTCTATGGCTTTTTTTGAAATTTCAATGAAAGAAGCTGAGAAGAAACTAAATCCATGGTATTCAGTATCTCATCGATTTTAATGAATTTTTACGATAAAAATAATAAAAATAAGATCTTTAAAAAAGGAGAAAAAGTGAATTTAGCGTGGCAATCAACTTAGTGGTGCACAAATCGAAAAAACTCGCCTGAGAAAAGTACTTTATTCTTTGCGATACATATTTCAGTTTTCAGCTATAAAAAGGAAATAAATTCATGGTTTTTCATAATTTCACATGTAACTGCTGATTTCAAAGCGTTTACAAGTAAATCTACCAATTTTTTTCAAAATAGAAAATATTATTGCAATATTATATTTTGAATTTTTTATTTTAGAAAAATAGAAATTAAAAATTACTGAATTATTGAAAATAAGTATTTTTGTAAAGTTTAAATTATATTATATAGAGCTACTTACATTTGAATACAGTAAAATTTGCAAATAAATTGAAGCTTGTAGCAACAAATAAATTGTCATGAATAAGGCCCGCCATCTCATGATTATATTCATCGATCCACTCGTATCCACTCATGATTATATTCACGAATAACACCAACTGCATTTATAATATTATCAAGAAAGTATTATCAACGCTGTCGAAGCCATGTTCTTCGTTCTCCAATTCTTCAGGCATCTCACCGCATGTTAAGCTCTATGATGGAAAAGCTCTGGCACAAGCGGGGGAACCAAGCTCTGAATAGATATGGTCAGAGAAATTGTGAATACATAGATGGTTTAGGCCTTAGAAAAAGGAATGGCTCCAGTCATTTTCAAGCACGGCAGCGGATCGGGAGGATTAGGAACTGGAAAAAATGAAATTTTATTCGAGTAACCAATGGATCAAATCAAATCGTCAGTGGTTGACCTATTAAAAGAAAGCTTTTCACCCTCTCGAATAAGTGAACTCGTGCTAGAATCCAAATTAAATATTGGATAAACATTGGACGAATAAATATAGCTGTCGTGGAAAATAAATATAAGTTGGCATAAACATTTATCCTTAGAGAGTACAAAATTCAAAACTCAAATCTGTCCATAGTTTGACTAATCTGCGTGGATATACTCACAATTACGAGTGTATTATCTATTTTTAAATTTAAATTTGATATGATAAATATCTTATCACATGAATAATCATCTCATTTATTGATAAAAGCATACGAATAAATTTTTAAATCTTATTCGTCTAACATTCTCACCATCATTAGTTAAGCTGGTTCCGCTGGCTATACGAGTAAGAAATTTTCAAGCTGCTCCATCTGATACCATTGCTGATATTAATAGAAGCCACTCCTTTTTCTATAATCCAAATCCATATATCGCTGCTTCCTCTGTGCGTTCAAAATCTCCTATATCAAAATATATCAATGCAGGTCTTGATTGGTCCTCTTTGCTTTTGACGCCATCCATCAAAGAGTTTAGCGAGTAGCGAAATATGTTTCAATGCCTGTGGTGAAAAACGAACCAGCGAAGACGACGCTCTGTGTTACTGTTAATGTTAATGTTAATACAAGTAATATTTGAGGAAATGATGAAATCATGTGAGATTGTACCTTGACAGCGAAACAGCGAACTGTAAAAAACATCTTAGATATCAGTGGTCAAAGGCAAATAGCGTCTTAATATGCCCTGTTCACTCACTTTCACCATATTTCGTAGCCATATAACAAGATCGAGCGAATTGCAGCTATATGGACGCGGACTTTCGCTTTTGTAGTGACGATTCCACAAAGACTTCGCCAACGAGAAGAACGCATTTACTACATTAGCTACTTTTATCTGGGTTGTAATTTCGTCTTTCAATTAGCCAATTGAGATTACAATGGATCCAAGATTTAAAATCGAGATTTCCTCAAGAAAGAATGAAAATTTTATCAGCGTCCAACATTTACAAATTGTACCTCGTACTCTCAGCAAAAAGGACTACATCATCAGCGTATTCAAGATCTGTGATACAAACCATTCGATTGATTTGTACACCCCTTAAGTGTTGACCACAATCCAGTTTATCGCATAGTTGATTACGGTAGGGGAAAGGGTACAACCTTGACCTAGGGTGCAACCAAAGGGTATTCTTATTTCGAAGGAATTTATCAGTTCCCCGTGCACGAAGACCTGTGTATGCACGCTGATAAAATATCTTAGTGAGTCGCATGATCTTCTCTGGAACACCACTGTATTCCATCATCCTCCAAAGCGTTGTTGATCAATTAAATCGAAAGCAGCTGCAAATCCAATGAAACAAATGGCTGTAATTAAGATATTTGAAGCGATGCTCCTCTTGAAGCTTTTCTTAGCGCTAATGAATACAAATACAAATTTTTATAATAATGAAAATATTGAGCAGATATTTCGCAAAAAAATTGTTAAATTAAATAATAATATGGGTCTTAAAATGAAAACAGCATTACGATACTTTATTTTGAACTTAGTTTTGCTTAATTTCTCATGTTTTATGACGTCATCCATGTCTCATAAAGCGTTTATTCATTGGTTCATATGGTGCCATAGGCGAGTCACGTCCGTGTTGTGCTGGGAATTCCCCTTTTAATCTATCAGTTGACTTGTTGGCAAAGATTTCTTACATTTTTCTAACCAATGGAGGCCTAAGGTGAGCGCAAACCATTTACTTTAATATTTCCTGCTACCTTTTTTATTTCTATTGTTTCCACATTATGCTACTCGTCAGATGGCTGGTAGACTGGTCGAATTTACCAGTAATCCTCGACGTGTGTCGTTTGCTGAATATTGAGAAAATGCTGGCAACCTTTTCGTTCCTCTCACAACATTGGTAAAGCTGTTTATCCAGTCTTTATGAAATTTCATGGAATGGAGTGAGATTTCAATCAAAATCTTGATTTCCAGATTAACAAGGTTTGATGGTCGATAATATGTCGGATAAAAAATGTTAGCGAACGTTAAGCGTCGCTATATTGAAATATATTTTCTATGTGCATGTGCAATATGTGCATTTTGCACAGCTATAACGATTATGACGTGTACGTGTCGTGACGATCGCCCACGTATTCTTCGACACTCGCAAAACCTCGCTGATTTGGATTCGAATAGACCTGGTAAGTTTTCTTTTTTCTTTAATTCTTTTTTTATAACTCCTTGTTTCCAAGCTGTTCGATCCGGCGCTATCGCTAACAGTAATAGAAGCCATTCCTTTTTCTATCGTCTAATTCCATATATTGCTGGTTCAAAATCTTTCCTGACTATATCAGTCCAGGTTTTGTTTCTTCCTCGCTTTTGACGCCATCCATGCCGGGGTTTAGCAACTAACGAAATATATGGAAAAACGTGCTCTAACCAATGAAGGCGATGCTCTGTGGTGGTGCTATTAATGATAGTGGTATTTGAGCGAAAGTGAATGCAGTTACATGAGATTTTATCCGCTTTGCGAACACCTAAAATCGTAAACATATGTAGTCAAAGGAAAATAACGTTTTAATATACTCCTTTCCCACTGGCCATATCTCTCAGGCATAGTAAGATCGAGTGAATTGCAGCTTATATGGGCGCGGACTTTCTTCTTTATGGTGATTTCGGGAAAAACACAATTATAGCCACTCTCCGAGTTGTATTTTCGAGTTGTAATTTCGTTATCCGAGTTGTCCATGTTGTGATTTTCATCAATTCATAATCGGTTGAGGGAATAATATACTTTAAATATCTTGAATCTAATCAAGACTAATAGGTTAGGAAAGATTTTGAACGTATAGGTGAACTAGCAATATATGTTGGACTTAGGCGTGGAAAAAGGAATGGATTATATTTCTATCGATGATGGCATGCACTGCGTAGCATTTTACCCTTGTAGCCAGTGGGGCCAGCCTAACCAGTAATGGTAAGAGTTGTTAAAAGAAGCAAAAAAGAAGACGTTTCCAAGCTGCTCAATCTTTGACAATAATAAAAATTACGAATTTACAGATATTTATGAAATACTCTGTTTATTTATGAAAAGAACAATAAATGATAGTGAGACTTAGTGAAAATCCATTATTTTTTCGATCGTCTAAGTCCATATATCGCATCTATATGTGCAAAATCTTTTCTGGTTCCTTGATACTATTAATGGAGTTGTATTTGAGTGGTACTGTGGTGTTGTGTGGTAAAATGGTATTTGAGCGAAGGTGGATGCAATTATGTAAAATTTTATCAGCTGGACCCGCAAAATGTGTCTAAGACATGAGTTGTTAAAAGCGAATGCCTTCTTATCCTTCACTCTCATCGGTCATATCTCACAGCCTTAGAACAAAATCGAGCGAATTGCAACTAAATAGACGCCAATTTTTCATCTTTATGGTGGCTTCACGACGGCTTCATAAAAATTTCGTCAAGTGGAAAATCGGAAAAATTTCTAGTTACCTTTATCCGGGTAATTTCGTCTTTCATTTAGTCGCCTGGGATTATAGTGGATCCAAAATATTTAAAATTTGTCATTCAATCGAGTATGAATTGATGAAATGGTAATTTTATCAGTTTCTGGTTTATAAGACGAAAAGATTTTCATTTTACATTGATTCGGTTCTCACTGCAGTTCCTGACTTCTTTAACATTATTTTGTCATTGCTGATCATAGCTGTCAGCAAAAAAACTGTCATCAGCGTATTCAAAGTCTATGATACTATGCTCTGGTCATTTGCACATTTCTTTATTGCCGACAAGCGATGTCCATTATCCAGTCTATTGCATAGGATATTGTAAGAGAAATAACGCGACCATGATGGCCACCAGTTCTTATTTCGGAAGAGTTTGTCATTTCCTCATATACACACTTGTGCCGATGTACGCTGATAAATATGAGTCGAATGATCTTTTCTGGGAACACCATGATGTCCTATCACCCTTCAAAGAGTCGTTCTATCAATTGAATTGAAGATAGCTGCAAAATCGATAAAGCAAGTAATGGTGGATTGCTGATATTTAAAGCGATGTTCTAGTACCCTTTTTAGTGTGCATATCTGGTCATAATCTCACCTAGTCTGGATTCTTGGTTATATCCTTTTATCTTTTATCTTGTATAACTATAGTAGAAGGGAAGCAAAATTTTTCCGGAGAAATTTGGTGGGCTAATTCCTCAATAATTGTCACAGTATGTCCTGTCACCTTTCTTAAGAATTGTGATCAGATTGCTTTTTGTTTGAAAATTTGTTTTTCCCTATCTAGTATTATTTCTTTCTTCCATATCAGAGATTAATGCGTGATATGAAGGTCTCTTTAACATTGTATGCATTTTGTCATAGCTGTCAGCAAAAAGACTACATCAAAGACTGTTCAAGGTTTGTGCTACTATACTCTGAACTGATTTGCATATCTCTAACAAGTAGTTTATTATATAGTTGAATATTATATTAGGACGCAACCATAATGAATATCGGTTCTTATTTCGAAGGAATCTATCAGTTCCCCATATAGACCTGTTCGCTGATAAAATGCCTTTATTAGTCGAATGATCTTATCTGGAACACCGTTACATTCATCAGCTTTTAAAGTGCTGCTCCATCGATTCAATCGTAGACAGCTATAAAATCGACAAAACAAGTGTTTGTGGGTAGCTTATATTTAAAATGATCACCATCACCTTTCCATCACCTTTCTTAACGTATATCTGGTCACACGCCTACTTCATCCTTCTATTGGCGATTCGTAATTTTTTTTTAGAGCCATAATCATTGCTGGTTTATCGCATTGGGCAGATATGGCAGATATTACAGGTGAGTTGCCAGCATCATCCAGATTTTTGGTGTGGGAAATAGAACCCCAGCTCTCCAAATTGATAACAACCTACTGAGTCATTCTACTCATAACAATTCGCAGTTGCAAATTTATGGTTCAACGAACAAATTAACCATGTTCGGACAACAGATGACGCATCATGGTCAAGTTTGGCCTCAGTGAATTTTTCCACCTTATGAGGTGGTCCTTAATAGCCTTAAGCATACCATTGCTATACCGTACCATTTCACAGATCGTTCGAGTTATAGTTGCTTTATAAAGAAATGAGTTTAATAATAGTTTAAATAAGTTTAATAATAGTTTCCTATTATCATCTAATCGAGCGGCGATCTCCGTTCTCAAGACCATGTCACTCCAGTATCCTCGTCCTCTTGTCCCCGTGCTGAAGATGTAATTCTTCGAAGCATCTGGTAGTTAGAATATATTTAATATTTAACATACGCACTTTGGCAATCTTTTCAGAGCTTCTTAGACAGTTGGCTATCCAACTAGCGCATTCCATACTAATAAATCTTGTCATGAAAGTGGCTGGTTTTCCGGTTTTCCTTTATTTTTGACCAGTACTCATCTACTTTTTCAGAGAAATTGTTTATGTCCTTGAGATGTTTCGGTAATTCGGTTTGAAGTGTTCTGATCATCCTCGAGTTCGTCTTGTAGTTTGAGATTGAAACCTTGGGAGACGTTTTTTCCTGCGAGTTGTCAATTTTTTGCGAAGCTTGGCTCGAACCATAACATTTTCTAATCTGTGAAGGTTTTTACCAGTACTACCAGTTTCAGCTTTGACTGGACTATTATTCGGATATACTAGATATATTTTCGGTTGCATGTGCATAGTAATAAAAAGTTCACGCTGTTCGTGCAAAGTAAAGAAGATATTCTCCATTGTCTCACTGGATCTCTATATCATATTTGCCAATTATTGTGGCGGAATCGGGACCTATGTGCCCCTTCCAGTCTTCCCCAACTGTCTTTGACAAACATTCATTACTTATTTCTTTTTGTAATTATTTTTTTTACGTCAGGCATTGTTGAGGAAGTATTTAAAAAATTGAAAGATGTTGCACTGGGATTCCGCTGATTTTTATGACATGATTTAAGAGGCCCGTGGAAAAAATTTTATGACCACTGGTTTAGACATAAAATAATTGATGAATTTCATAAATTGAACGTTCAATACAGTTGTACAATATTGCAGAAAACTTATACCTTTGAACCAAATGGAGTAAAGAACATACAGAAAATTAATCAGCTCATTAAAGCTTTATAATAAGCCTTATTTATAATAATTACTTTACTTAATAATGAACAAGTCAAACAACATAATCACAGCTGTAGTTTATAAAACAAAGTAATTATTATTTTTACGCTTTCATTTCAACGAAAGGCCCATCTTCATAATCTACCATGCTAACTTAAAAACATTCATTATATTCTCTTTGTATTCCCCTAACGTTCTTTCCTTCGAATCCTGTTATAACTCATCTTCGAATCCTATTATAATCTCATATCTCCAAATCCGCATTGTTCGGTCCAAGCTTATGATAACCGTTACCATTTTATAATCTGTGGCTGCAATTGCAGCAAATATAAGGAATTATGGGCAGTAAAGATTTAAATGCATCAAGGGTCGAGATTTTATCGAGGCTGGTCGGTGTTAAGGCGCCACAGCCGGGTCTGGATAAGAACGTAAGTTAAAATATAAAAGAGTCAAAGGGAATCACCAGTGATAGAAAAGTAATAAATCAACATTTTCGAACTTATAATTGCATAATTCGATTAACGCTAATGATATAAAATTTTCATTTTAAAAAAGGTTACATAAGTAAAAATAATTTTTTTAAATTTTTTTTTATGATTTCGTAATAAAATTTTAGAGAATAATGGAGACAAATTATCAACATATTTAATTTTGGTGATAATGTCAAGTGCATCTGATGACCATAAACGAAATGTTATCAGAAATACATGGTTGAAGTTATCTTCGAAAGGTTAGCAAATATTCCTTTTTTATATGTTCCTTTCTTTCATGAATGATCAATGGTGTTTTAGTTAAGTTAACGAATTTTGCTGTATTTTATATAAAATAGCAAACAAGCATAGGCAAATAAAAATAAATAAAGAAAAGTATCTTAAATATTTTTGAAATGTTAAGAAATTTATGAAAAAATTTTCGGAGTATTTATATATATATATATATTTTTACTTGTTATCAGGACATTCTTATCGCAGCAAAAAAAGATTCCTGAAAGTTTTTTAGGACCAAAGATCTTTCGCCACTTTTTCTCAATCGGTGTGGAAAATCTCTCAGAAAATATGCTCAACTCTCTCGAAGGAGAACATCGAGCTTTCGGTGATCTTCTTCTTCTGCCTAATCTGGTCGATACGTATAGCAATTTAACGAGAAAAACATTGCTTTCGATTGAATCTATCTATCGATTGTATGATTTCAGCTTCATGTTAAAGGTTTATATAGTATGTAAAATATTTTAAATTATTTTAAGGTTCTCTTCTTTATTGTTATATTTTTTTTTAGATCTTTTAGCTTTTCTAAACCAACGGTTTTTTAGCCAGTTAAGATAACTCTTAACGACTGTAACTGTAAAAATAAATTTTTTAAATATTAGGTTGATTCCGATTCATTTGTACGCGTGGGCGCTTTGGTGAAAGCGCTGAAAGATATTGCTCATCCTCGTCTCTACTGGGGTTTTCTTGATGGTAGAGCGAAACCAAGACGTAAAGGGCAATGGGCGGAGAGGGATTGGTTGCTTTGTGATCATTATTTGCCTTATCAAGTAAGCTAATTTTTGTTTGTTGTTTGTTTTTGTAACTTCGGCAATTTAAATCCTTAAACTTTTTTTGATTTTTAAATTACAAGTTTCATTGAGGCTTACTAATCATTTATTTTAATTATTTATAAATCATAACGTTTTTGTCAAAAATATTCTCTTTTTCTTTTAAAGCATTAGAATTGAATCATAAATATATGAATTATTTTCATATTGTTACAAATTACCAAATTCCAAATAAATTGATTCGTTTAGTTTGTTAAAAGTTCATTTTGAGATTCTGAGATTTAAATTTTTGTTATTCCATCTTTTTTCTACTTTGTTGTAGCTTGGCGGTGGTTACGTGCTTGCATTTAAATTAGTTGAATTTATCGCGAAGAACAAAGAGCTACTTAAACTTTATAAGTTGGTTTCGTTCCTCACTTTTTAATGACTAGTTCGTGTGAATTTCATATTTTAAATTTGTTCAATTTTTAAATTCAAGTTGGCCTTAAAATTTTTTTTCCTTTGCAGTAATTTGCAGTAGTTTGAATTGTTTCATCAATTTCAATTATAATAGTTTAAGATGAAATATTTTCGTGAAATTTATTTGTGAAATAAATTTATTTAAAAAAAATGTCACGAAAAAAATCGCTGTTGGATGCATTTTATATTGCATGTTGCATAAGTTTTAGGAATGAAGATGTTTCTGTGGGGGCTTGGCTGGCTGGTCTTGATCTTCGTTATGTTCATGATCCAAGATTTGATACAGAATTTAAATCACGTGGTTGTAATAATGAATTTATAATCACTCATAAACAATCGCCAGATGCTTTACAGGTTTTTTAGGCCCTCCTTTTTTCAGTTGCTTTATCTTTTTCGGTGATTTTTTTATCAATTTTTTCTAAGAGAAATAATAGAAATAATAATAATAGAAATAATAGCGTTTACCACTGTTAGTTAGGCCCATTCTGCACTTGGCCTGTTGAACCAGATCACATAGTGATAGAAGCATTTGGATTTTTGAGCAAGCTTGCTTCTGTCAGGTATATAGCCTCAACTCCAAATTAGGCGAAAATTCTTTGATCCATTTTACTGTCTTTCGCTTTCGACAACATCGCTTTCGCTACCCAACGGAGCGCGGTGCATCTTTTCGGAATCGAACTTGTTTTTTTTATTTATTTGTTTTGTTTGTTCTATTTTTTATTGTTTATTTATTTTTTCATTTATAAAGAATATCAGGGCATCGTGCTTTTGGATAGATGTATAAAATAGGATAAAACGACTTAGAGTGATAAATAATAAAAATTCGATACTAAAACAATGGAAGATATGAACAAATAAACCGAAAAATTTTTCATGAATATTAGTAACACAACATCGATGCCTTAATGTCTCAGTGGCAGGATGATTGCCGTCAAGGATCGGAGTTTGTGTTCGAATCTGGCACCACATTTCAATGGGGCGGCAGTTGCCTAAATGGAGAAACTAATAGAAAGTATGGAAATGAAATGGCTCCATGAGTAATTATTCAACAGGAAGCGCCGATGCTGAGATGCTGCCGGTCTGATAGAAATACACATGTCGAAAATTTGGAGTAATGCTGGAAATTCACCTATATCGCCATAGGACTTCCTGGCTTATTAGTCTAATTGAACAAGGCAGCGGAGCGAATTTAAGCAGTAATAGCAAGCGTTCTTTAAAAAAAAATATACTTCATTATTTTTCTTATATTACTTAGAATTTATTTAGAATCTTCGTTGTACATTGGACATATTCCTTAAATTATTTTAAGTGCTCAGCGCAATCTCTATAAACTTACCACACGCTTAATTTTTAGGCAAATATTATACAATATTAAATGTTATGCAATCCATATGGTCTAATTGCAGTATTTACTGATGACGGTGAGGTTTAACACACACGTGGAAAGAATCCGACATTGTTAAAAAACAATAGAAATTAAATGATTTAGTAACATAAAAACATGCAAATATGTAAATGAAAAATTTATAAATCATTTTAAAAGACTAGAAAAAGAATTTTTTTTCATTCGTTTTATAATTTTTTATTTGGAAAAGATTGCAATTCTTGCGTTAATATTGTCTGGTTGTATCAGATATTTTTATCTTTTTTTCAGGATCTTTATCAATCGCTGGTTAATTCAGGAAAGTTATGTCAATCGGAGTATCGTTCACGTGGTTCTTATGTATATGATTGGTCAGTTCCTCCAAGTCTTTGTTGCATTCGTCGTAATGATACATCCGTACCCTAGTACTCTTCTCCTTTTATTTTTTTTCGAAAAAATATTTTTGCTACAAATAGAGATACAGATGCTGCAAATAGGGATACAGATATTTATTAATTTTATACTAGTATGGTGATTGGGGATGTCAAGGGAATAAAACGGCATTTCAGGAAAAATTTAAGTATAAAAGGATTTGAGAGGGCCTTCATCGAGTATAGCAGTATCTCAAAGAGGCATGAATTAATTTCTAGACGAGATCTTTGGAAATTTCCAAAGAGACATCACAATTTTTTGTAGGAGGATGTTAAAGGAGATGATAAAGAGTAAGGAGTTAACAATTTATGTGCTAATAACGGAATTTAAGTGGATTTTGAAACCGGATTTAATGGGATTTGATTGATTAGAATAGAGGCCACGATGGGTTTTTTTTGCATGGTTTTTTGAATACTTTTCAAGGTCGCAATCCGAGATTTTATTGATTCGCCGCGGCTTTGCAGTTTCCGAATTGCATATCGCGGATGCAGCAAATATAAATTGCGTAGCAAATAATTGTATGCACTACACCATAGCAAATTATATGACTAATTTGCTATGTAGAAACCACTCTAGCGACGACTAATTTATATATTAAATAGCAAATTATTGTATATTAATATAGATTATCATAGATAAACTACAATTATTTAGCTAGTTTGGCTAATAACAAGTTATTATTATGTAGTTTAATCGTCGCTAGAGTGGTTTCTACTGGTTCAGCTTATAATGAGATTTTTAAGAGATCCGCGGAACTGTACTTTGAATTATATTAGTTGAAATATTAGTTCATTTGGATGATAATAATTCATTTTCAATGAATATTTTATTTAATTTATTACATTCTAAAGATCTAAAGATTTTAGATTAAAAAATTTTATGAATATTTTATATTTTAAAAGTTACGCTGCTTATCCATAGGTTTCATGACATCTAGGAATCTAGAAACAAAGTCATAACTGATTATAACTGATTATAAATTATTGTATACTTATTGTAAATTATTGTATATTGTAATAGCAAGTTATCATACACACAGGCAGTAGATGTATTTATATTAACAGAGTATTTTATACGTTGTATTAAGTTAAGTACAAAAATACCAGCAAAAAAAAGCAGCCATTATGTTGATCTTGAAAAGAAATGCATAGTAGAAAATAGACTAACCTATAGAAAACTTGCAGTCTTATTTTATTGCGCGAGAAGCAACCTGCGGCCTTAGTTGGAGTAGAATATTTAATTTGCTTTAGTTTAACTGATGATTTTAAAAAAATGATAAAAAAAAAGTGCACTAGTTTGAAGGATCGTAATGGTCTTAAAAAATTTTAAAGGAATGGTAAAAAATATTAAAGAAATTTGAGAGATTCGAAGGCGATTGCAGCTGCTAGGCCAGATTTATTTATTGTCATAGGACAGAAATATACATAATGAAATTAATATGCAGAAATTACATAGCAAAGTTACACAAAGTTACACGCTAAATTTACATAGTGCTATTTAACTTTCACGTGTTTCATGTGTTTTAAAGAGTTTTGGTGACCGCAAAACCTACAAATTCGTTTAAAACATTAAAGAATGAGGTTAAACAAGATTAGTATATGGATTTGGCTATTTGCTAATATTGTACTCAATTAAATGGATATTGATAATAAATCAAGATCAAATATTCTTTTAACCTTAGAATCTTTCTTTTAAAATCGTCAATTTTATGTTTATATAAATATAAAAAATATATATATATATATATAATATATATATTATATATATATTTTTTCGCCAAACATTGCATTGTAAATTATTATTAAAAGTGAAAATGGACAGTAAGATGGAAGAAGAATAGGAGGTTTCTTGTAATGAAAAGAATTGGAATACTGATTGGACAGGAGAAAAAAGTTTATATTATTGTAAAGTTTTTTTCATGTATTGTCTTAAATTTAGTAGACCCTATGTAATTTTGTTACGATAGTTTTATTTATGAGGTTTGTTAGAAATATTGCAGTTCGACAATGTGCATTAAAGTAAATACCGGGGAATCATCGAAAGTTTCGTCATAAATTTTGGTGTTTACTGTCATGCATAGGTTTTTATTTCTTTTATATCTTTAAATTTATTTGAATATCTTCTACGGATTTTTTTTGCTTTTATCTATTTTGATAATTTGTCAGAAATAAAACTTTTTATATTCGCACTTCTACTTTTTTATTTTAAAGCGATTATTTTCGCCATTCCTACATGTTTTGTATGAATTATAATCATTGTTTTTCTCTTTTATTCAAGATTTTCTTGTTAAAATTATACTGCAAGTTTTTAAAACTATAATATAGAATATTGAAATGGATGATTAATTTAACGGATGATTAATGGGCTTGGTCTGAAAGCGATTTGGTGAAAACAGTTCGTTCTGGTTTTGGTTCTTTTATATTATGTCGGATAGTCAGCTGGAAATATTTCTAATTCAAATGGTTGGACCTGTTTCGGTTATCCTTCGAAATATAGCTTTGCCATGGATTTTTGTTGGGTGTCGTTTCAAGTCGAAGAGTGGATTTTGGTATGCAATTTATATTTATAAGTTCATGGCATTTATAAATTCCGATTTTATAGAATATTTTTATAGAATATTTTAGACATTGCAAAATAATGAACAGCAACAAATTATCGTTTCGTTGAGCTTTATGAATGGATTTGTTATTATTATTGAGAAACATTGAGAAGTATTATTATTGAGAAATAAATTTGTTTGTGGTTATCAGGCCATGAGAAATTTAAAAGATCATCTAAAAAATATAAATAAATTTTCAGGCTCAAATTTATCATGGATTTTTCGTTTCTCGTTATGCCAGTTATATTTTCGATGACACTTTTTTCGGAACATATAAGTGTTATTTTAATTTTTCAAATAATTGCTCTTTTTTCGCTAAGCATTTTTTATTTGTGTGAATATTGTTTTATTGCTCGTGAGAAACCGTCATTAAAGCATATAGCCAATCAGATTATTGATGATCAACATATTTCGACAAAATTTGTCATTTATATGAGGTAAATAAATTTATTTGTTTTTTGTTTTGTTTATTTGCTCTTCATTTACCACTTAAAATGTATAATTTATGCGAGATATAGAATGTAGGAGATTGAAATGTAAAAAACAAAATAAAGCAAAAATTTAATCATGGGTATTAGTTACATAGATTTCTTTAAAGATTTCTCGTAATTTTTTTAGATCCATGATATTAATTGCGACTGCTGTTGCCATTTTAGCAATTGACTTTCCAATATTTCCACAACGTTTTGCTAAAACATCTGTTTATGGACGAAGTTTAATGGATGTGGGCGCTGCTTCTTTTGTTTTTTGCCTTGGTTGTTTTGATGTATTTAAGCATTTTTCCTGTTCTGCTTCTGCATATCCTCCTAAAAGGTTGAAAGATTATTCGATTTTTCAATTTTATGTTTTAAATATTTAAATATTTAAATGTTTAAATGTTTATTAATTAGCTTAAAAGTTCCACTGCAGATGAATTCCCATGCTCAAAATTCGTATACTTTAGGGGATTTAAAATTCTTTTCTCATCATCAGCTATTTTACTATATCTTGGTATTCTTCGAACTGTTATTCTTAAATTGATTGGTTATCAGCAAGACGTAACTGAATATGGCGTTCACTGGAATTTCTTTTTTACCCTTGCTTTTATAAAAGTAATTTTTTAGTCGAGTTCGTAGGAAATGAATTTTCTGTTTTTATTTTATTTATTTTTTATTTTCATTTTTGTCGAGAAATTTAGTTATTTTATAATTTTTGAGAGATCGGAAAAAAACATGCAGAATTCAAAATTTGTTGTCAGTAAAATCGTGAATTGGTTCAATTTAATAATGATATTTTTTGCTTCAAAGTGGAAAAAATATTAGAAATAAAGATGAAAATTCACCTTAATTTCGTCAGTGAATTGAATTATAAAAAATTAAAATATTTTTTTCAACAATTGAGCTAATTTTACTCTCATTTTTCTGTATTTTAATACATTTCGACCATTATATGGTAGATTATAACGAAAGCATTGTGCCGTCGCTTTCATTTTTTACTTGGCTTAATTTTCATTTCTATTCATCAGCTTATACTTGGATATGCAGAATTTCAGGTATCGGTTTCTACTTTAATTGTCAAGTTAATTTAATTTATTGAAATTTATTGAAATTTGCTTTTAATTTGTCAAATTTTTCATAAGATTCTATGTTCGGTATCCCATTTGTTACGATGAGATGTGGTGGAGGAGCAAGTAATGATTCTAAGAAATTCATTTAATATGTCATTTCACTGAGGTCGATGTCAAAATTATTATTTTAAAAGTGAAAACTTAGCTGTTCATAAAAATGAAGTGGTGCAATCATTGGGGATTTGTTTTGTTAGATTAAATCTTCATATTTATAAAAATTTTTGACAATTAAAATAGGATTGGCTTCTATCAGAAGATGTTCCCCGTAATGATTTTTTTTCTGCAAATCGTGAAGGAATATTTTCCTTAATTGGATATTTATCATTGTATTATTTTTCATCTGTGATCGCTAGATTTATTGCTTCGACAGGGTAGGTCATATACGATTGAATTTTCGAATTTTTATAATTTTATTTACCTTTTTTGGCTTATTAATATTGTGGATGGTAAAAAAGATCGAAATCGAAGGTTCAAAAAATCATCTTTATATTATTTTATTTAATATTAGGTCAATTTGTTCTGTTTTTTTCAGTATTAGATTAAAATCATGGTTTCAAAGGAATCTTCAGTTGCTTCTTTTGGCTAGCTTCCTATTTTTTTTACAAAAATGCTCACAATCATTATTTGGTCCTCCATCACGTCGCATCGCAAATATAACATATGTTATGGAAATGGTTTGTTTTTTTAAATTATAAAATATTGAGATTTTTCTAGTTTCTTTATTCCGATTACAGAAATAAATCGAATATTTCTTTGACTAAAATTTAGTAAAAACTTTCTATCTGTGTCGCTTACGGGAAACAATTCTGTTAGAAATGAAATAAGACGACTCACTTATACTCGCTAAGTGATTTTCTGGTGGAATTTCATTTGTTCGGTAGGGGAAGTCTGATTTATAAGTAAACTACACCAACCATCAATTTTAAGTCTCGTTTTTTAATGTAGTTTTTTTCAGCTGGTATTCCATTCAAGTTGTATGGCAGCATTTTTGTTTGTACAGTTTGTTTCACTATTTTGTTGGGCTGCAAAAGTGCCGCAATTCACGTCTGGTAAAGTCCAATGTTATAGATAATGGATCAACTATTTCGGATTTTTCATTATCTTTCAAAAATTCAATTTCCATCATTTTTCAGATGAAAATCCTTTCGAAAACCAGAATCCTTGTTTATTGAATTCAATAAATGAATTCGCGATGTCTTTTTTTCTTCTCTCTAATTTATTAACTGGATTTGTAAATTTAACGATAGTATGCTCAGAATATACAAATGCTTACCATTCGACCACAGTGATTATTATATATATGTTTGTTTCATGTGCTCTAATTACTGGTGCTTATTTCGTCACTCAGTCAAAAAAAAAAAATGATCCGATTTGAATCTTTGTGGATTTATGGATAAATTATTACAAAAAAATATATAAATTTTAGAACTTGAAGGATAGATAGCTAAACAAAATTTCCATTATTAAAAAACTGCATATCGTTTCTTTACAAAAGAAAATGTTTTACAAATTTAAACGATGCAGATTGTCCTTATTGATATTTTTGAAAACTGATATTTTTCATTTCTTGAAATCCAATATTTTCATAAATTTATATTTGCTTACCATTATTTTTTGGTAGCCAGTTTTTATATGCAGTTTAACTTCTAATTTTATTCTTAAATTATTTATTTTATTTTACTTATTTTAAAATTAAGCATCTTTAAAAGGTATTTTTGCGCCAGAAAATATTTAAATATATTTTGTATTTTTGATAATTTTCAATAATTAATATTTTTATTTGTACAACATTCTTTTCTGTTCCAATTACAGATTGCACTGAAACCAGCAAAAACATGAAGAAGAATGAGTAAAAAATATATTTACGAATTTAATTAAAATTATCACAGAAAAATGATAGATTACCAAGGAAACAAGGAAAAGGAAAAAAAGAAGTCAAATTATGATGGAAATAAGCTTTGACTAATGACGATGATTCCAACCATATACAAGAAAATCCATGCAGAATTAGGATAAAATAAGTTAAAATTCACAAACAATTACTAGTACCAGTAATGTTTTGTGTCGAAGAATGTGGTAGAGGGCGTTGAACGGCAGATGAACTAGGAGGAGGAGGTAACAATGGTACAGGTTTTTTTCCATCATCTGATATATTAGTATACTGCGTCCGCTGAGAACTTGACGATTTCTTCTAAAGCATACAAGTGTGAAACAAATGTAAATTGAATAAAAATTATTTAGAAAAATTATTAAAATAATTAAAATTAGAAAAATTATTAAAATTATTCCAAATTTAGAATTTAAAGAATAGAATAAAAATAAGTGGATAAAATTACTCCAAAATTAATCGTAATTGTTTGACCAGCTTTAAAACCAAGATCAAGCTTCGGTTGGTCACCAGCGGCAATCTCCCGTTCCAGTTTATCGCACTTTTGTATCGCTTTGAAATGATCTTGTAAAGCAACATTCAGATCAAATGAATCACTTCGATCCGCAAATCCCATACCTATCAAAAAGAATAAATTAGAGTCTTAATAGAAAAACTTCTGAATTTGCATATTTCCAAAATTTGAAATATGATAAAGATTTTCGAAACTTTTAAAATTTAAGTCAGGATAATTATGTTATCATTTCAAGCACCTTGTGATGTAAAAAAATTAGTGCGGTAAAAGAAATTTTAAATTCGCTCAACAACCCAAAGCGGGTTATCAGTTTACGGGTTTTCCCGTAATCGTTGAATCGGTGAAGAACAGGGAAATAAACTTGGAAATAAACGAAGTTCATAAAATTATGAGTGTGACAAGAAACAAAATTATAAATCACTGATGCTATAACAGAACAAGAATAAGGGAAAAAAGAAAAATTTAAAAAAAGATAAAAATGCTAGCAAATGACCTTTTTATTCAGACAAATAAATACTAAAAGTACTAAAAGTAAAGTACCAGAATTCATTGGTAATATATACAGTCAATCTATGAATATTATTTAATAATCACTTATTATCACTTTATGTATTATATTTATAAATTTACCGACAAATGCCGTTTGACCATTATCATTTTTCAGGCGTATAACAAAATATCTCGATGAATCGATTACCGGTTCAATAGCAATTCCAGGATGACCATCTATTGGGCATTTTGCAAATAATTCGCCCGACGATTTGTCTTCTAATCGCAATTCAAGAAGTTTTCCTAATGCAATTAAACGCATTCGCCCCGTCCAATCGGGTTGATCAAGTTTCCAATCAGCAGCTCTTAAAATTCGGTTTCTAATAAATTCCGAAAATATTTTAAAAAATATATCTCCAGTGTTTGCAAAAATAAAACGTAAAATTTTTCTCAAAGTTAAAATAATTCTTTAAAAAAAGAATACAGAATATAGCTGAGAGATTTTGAAAAAAATTTACAAATTTTAACCTGTGTCCTCGATTATTTGCCACTGGTGGTACTCGATAAATGAAAACTTCCTGCTTAACCAAGCAGATCCTTTCATAAATATCTTCTGCCATCTGTACTCAAAAAACATTTTGGATAATACCATTTAAAAATAAATGAAAGCAATAAAATTAAAAATGTTGAGACAGGATGAACTAGCCTACTATATTTTAACGAATACGCTATAATAGAATGTAAAAAGAATGTAAAAAAGTGCATGTAAAAAATTTTAATGTGATTTTATGTGGAATTTTAGCGTAAAAGGATTCATAGCTTTCATCGGACTCGCAAAGGAATCTCTACCTTTCACCACAGCCGCAAAAGAGACCACTCCTTTCATCGGACTCGCAAAGGAATTTCTACCTTTCACCACAGCCGCAAAAGAGACCACTCCCTTCATCGGACTCGCAAAGGAATTTCTACCTTTCACCACAGCCGCAAAAGAGACCACTCCCTTCATCGGACTCGCAAAGGAATCTCTACCTTTCACCACAGCCGCAAAAGAGACCACTCCTTTCATCGGACTCGCAAAGGAATTTCTACCTTTCACCACAGCCGCAAAAGAGACCACTCCCTTCATCGGACTCGCAAAGGAAACCAAATCCAAAATGAGGTCCGTGTGAAAAGGAAATTTAAACAATTGCTGCTCCAATTATTCAATGAACAAAATGTTAGAAACCCAAGAAATCCAAAACAAGCCATTAAAACAAAGAAAACAATTAAGCCAAACGACAGCTGCATTGCAATCAGTAGTCGCTACTTATTAACTGCACCGATCTGCGGCTAAGGCCCTTTGCGATGGATTGGGCGGCCCGGGGCATTTTGCATGTTCATTTTTTCCATGCGTTTAGGCTGACGATGAACCTCACTTCGGGATAAAAAGTTAAAACCGTAACCGACGAATTAGCTTTCGTCATCGTCGATGTTCAGCTTTCCTATTTATTTTGGTCGTAACAACGTTTAGGGAGGCTCAAAAGCTGTTTGTAGGAAGGAAGCAAGTTTGCCTAAGCCGAGAAAATTTAAGATTTAACGTGCTTTGCTGCGTTATTTCTGGAGATGGTGGAATTCTTCAGTTCAAAATTTTACTTTAATTAGCCGTAAATTAAACAATAATGTATGAACTTATCAAAACTTGAAAAGCTTTAATATTTTGCTTTTTGAGAAAAAACTTCCCAAATTTTTTTCGTTATCGATTATCGATGAAGTTTCCGTATAAGCCGTTAGAAATTTTCTTGGATTTAGAGAAGAGAAAAGTTCGGTTTATTTGCCTTAAAAACGGAATTTAAGAATTTCGAAAAACGGAATTTATTATTGAAATGAATTTCGCTTTTTAATGAGCTTCGTTTTTTAAATCATTTTTTTAATCGGAATTTTCTTGGATTTTGTAAAAATTGTCTCTCATTTTTAAAATTTTTCTCTTTTTTTCACTTCTCTAATAGAGTTATTTCTTATTTCAGTGATTTGCTTTTGCTTTCATGAAGCAAAGCAAAGTCATAATAACGCAAATACATTATAATTAATTAAAGTTTATTTTAAATTAAACAATTAATAAACAATTAATAAAAAAAGGAGAAAAATATATGCACAATGACTAGTTTTTCAGCGAAACAAAATTGATAATTGAAGTTTTTCGGATAATCGTTCACCGAATAATTAATTCAATTAATTAGCGACAGGAAGGAAGCAAAAATAAAATTAGAAGAAAAAAGTGAGCCAAAACCTGTAAGCCAATTCAATTAGATTTCTATGTTCCAAAATTCTAATTCAATGGAAAAGGAGCGATAAATCTTAAAATAAGCTTTCAGCTGAATTATTTTGAATGGGTTTGCGGAATGAAGATTGGAGAGCGAAAAAAGTTAGCTTAAAAGAGGCGATTTGCCAGGAATTTTTCACTTTCCTCAAGCATTTATTCCAAGTGCAAGTTCGGCTAATCTCAAGCCATCACAGGCATCCGTTGAATTCTTCTCTTGAAGGCAACAAACCTATCACCGAACCTCACCGTTGTGAACTTGCGAAACGAAATCCGGCTGCAGCCAACTGTATTTCCATTTCCAAATGACTCTGACGAATATGCCTTATCCTAAGAACGCGTTTAGTCCAGCCAAATCGCAAATGGGCTTTTAGAAGGGGAAGAAGAATGAAAATTGTGCAGAAAATGAATACAATGATAATTTTCCTCAAATAAAAGATTAGAAAATAACTTGGAAAAATGCTTAATTATTACGCTTGATTTTATAATATCAAATTCTTTGAATCAATGCAATAGAACTTTTTTCTTATTTAGGATTTAATAAATAGATTAACACCCCAATTTAAAAAATAACTCGATAGCACTTATATTTTTTAAATATGGAAATTAAAAAATGTATATGCAGTTATAATAAAAAATATAATAAAAAACAAAGTATAAGCGATAAATAAATGGTTAGCCCTCACCCTTTTTGAGCCATTCACTTTCTGGCTGATTATCTTGTCTTCGCTCTAAGAATTTTGATATTTATCAGCAATAGTCTTAGTTCCCTTTAAAAAAAAAAGATGCTTGCAAACTTTCTATTCAAAAATGGAACGAAAAATCATGCAGATCTACAACTGTGCTATTGCAAATGGAAAGAAATTATTTAATAATAAATATTGGGATATAAGTTTGGACCCATAAAGGATATATATTTGCAAGGATTATGGAGTATTGCACTTTAAAACTTACAAAAATGTATGAAAAAACATTCGATCAGATCATTTTTTTATTAGTACCATCTGGTTCAGCAATTCAGCAACATTGTCAAATTCAAAGTATAATTTATAACTTGGATTGAACTTGGTTACTTGATTGTATAACCAAATCATGAAGGCATTCAAGACTGTCTGTTGATGATCTAAAATTTTTTTTTACTGCTCAAATGTAATGTAAAATGTAAAGTTTTTTTCATATTTTAGCAATAAGTTTCAGCAAATTGGCAAACCAACACGCACGAATAATTTTAGAAATTTATTTTTATTTGTCTTTATTTATATGGATTTTGAATATTCATTGTTCTTCATTCTTCCATTAAAAATTTACGTTAATATTTTCAAATGGATTATTTTTGGGAAGAAACTTATACCGATATGCAGGTGGTGGGCTACGTGATCGATAAGGTGGAATCCGTGATGAATTCGGTTCAACAGTGGAACTGTAGGGCGAACATGTTTCACTGACAGTTGGTATTAAAGGTTTCTTATAGTCGCCAATCTGCAAGATGATACAAGTTCAACGTTATTTTGTTAAAAGTAATATTCTTCGAGAATGTATACTTTCAGGCAATTTTTGACAATCATTGCCAGTCATTGTTGGTATTGTTGGTCAGTCATTGTTGGTATTCTTAATGAAGAAACACCCAGTAGATTTTGTTAATTTTCAGTGTTTAATAAATTTTATTCAAGAAAAAAGATTTTCCTTCTCCTGCTGCTGTTTCGCTAATTCAATACTTCTACTTTAAAATTTTGATGACTTTTAATAAATTCATTTATAATTTTGATGTCGAATGAAATGTTTATAGGCAAACAGGAAAGGAAGTTTTAAAATACCCACTGAAAATCAATTTTTAACAAATGAATTTGAAGAAAACAAGCTTCAAGCATTTTATCCTTCTTTTGCTTATCGATTAATCAATTTATTTTTATAATAAAAAATTCATCGAAACCAATTTATCAGTTTTAAGAAAGAAAAATGCATTATGTGATTGCTCTTAATCGTTTCAATAAATATTATAAATCGCTTATAATAGCTTAAATGTTGTCAAATTAACGAGTTGTCGCTAAAGGCTATTTTTGTGGTTTGCCCACTCTCATTGTTGTTGTGCTCCTCCTGCAGCTTCCTGCAGTCCTCTTCAGCGCCTTTTTGCTTTGCTTTCTGTGTGAATGCTGTTGCCATGTATGTATAATACTGGATTCTCTTTGTGTGGCATCTTAACTACCGACACAATTCTTCAGTTCTCCGAGCTGATGCAAACTACCTTATCAATCTCTCCACTATTAAATGTCAACAATCATTAAATGATTGTTTTTGATCCTTGATAATGGTTGATAAAGCAAACTGTTCGAATTTTATTTTCAGATTTACGACGGACTTAATTTCATTAACCGTAAATACCATGGAAAGTTTTTACTGAAATTTTGCTATTGTCAATTGGCATAGACGGAATTTGTGATATTCCAACTCAGAATCGAAGGAACTAGTTTCTTATTTAACTTATATTAACAGCAATTGATATATAACTTTAAGCATAAAAAAAAGATGCTTATTTCATTACAGTGCTGCCAAATTAATAAAATCAGAGCCATTAATCACGTTTTAGTCAAAAATTTTAATGAATAATATGAATGCAGTAAATGATGCAATAATCTCTAGCAAAAATCGAATAAATTTAACCTTGTTAATTTGCCTCGCCTCATGAGCGCGAACCAATTCTAGACAACGATTCAAGGTATTTTGGTCAAGAGGACCATCAAGGTTGTCTTTTCGAAGCCGAAATGGACCAAAACAATCGCAAAAAACCCCTTTCATTATCTAAATAGAATTGAGAAAGTTTATAGAATGCTTTCGTTGAATTGCATAAATTCATCAAAATTATATTGGTCTATCAAATAAAATCTGAATGCCATTGAAATCTGCAATAGGTTAAAGTGCAAGTTACCCAGGTAAATTAATATTTTAAAAATAAATATCGCCCTTGCTAAAAGTAACGGTGCAAGTAACGAATTGTGCCAATTTTGAGGAAACCAAACATATTTAGAACTTACAAATTGGAACAACTGGTTAGGCAAGGTGCAAAGAATAATCATGATTGCCAACATACCAATTCCACGAAGTTTATAAAATTCAACAAAAAAATTTTTTTCACGAAAAATTTATTGTATTATTTACTTTTCTGCTGTTTCGTTAAATCAATTACAGTAACTAAATTCTATGAACCTCATTTTATGAGTCATCTTCATAGCCAGACAAAGATGTTGGTGAAACTAAGTAATCTAAAATTACAAATCATAAAAATTCAAAAAAAAATAATATATATCCATGAGGTTAGATTCCGTGAATGCTTCTTGTTTCTAGCTGGAAGAATTATGAAAAATATTAAGTAATATTTGAGACTTTATCTATATAACAAGAATAGCGATGCAAAAGCCTTAAAGAAGGTAGATTAAAATAATTGCATTTATTCCTTTATGGCAATTTTTTCAGCTAAAACTACAAATAAATAATTAAAGTTTTTTTCCGGATAATAGAGGAGCTTTTCCCAGGTGATGGATTCTTATAACAAAAAGGCTATAATAAGATCTTTTATAATTATATCTCTTGATTTTTTCATTCAACTAGTCAGTGCAAATACTAAAATATGCATAATAATGGTCAGGAATATCATTTCCATCTTTTGAAAACACTGGTTTTCTGGATAAATGGTATTGAATCCATACGAAAGGGTGTTATGAATGTTGGTGGCTAGGAAAAATGAATTGGATTTATTATAAAACGCCTGGAAGATAAATAGGGAAAAAGCATCGCAGCACGCGTGGATTTGTTGTGTGAGAATAGATTACACAATCGATTCTGACTGATTTCTTTCCTTACTACTCGAAATAACTTTACATTTTGATAAATGACAACCACGCCTGAGGCATTTAACGTTTTCATAAGCAAATCCACTAATCATTGGGTCAGGCATAACAATAATTTTTGGCAATTTTCTTTCAAATTCACCTTAAGTGTTTCTTGAAGTTTCGTCAAACTCCCTTTTCTTCCATATTCTCATTCCTTCCTTTTTTTTTCAAGTAGAATTTTAAAGAACCCTAACGATCTATCAACTTAAATAGTGGAAAATGGCTCCAAACATTGGTTTCGGAAACTTGAAATATTTTAACCGTCAAGAGAGTGCGACAAATCAGTTACTAAAAGAAGGGAAAAAATTATCGTTACAACATCAGTCATTAATAAGTCATGATGATATATTGTAATTGAAAAATCTCATATTATCTATCCTACGATTCTTTACATTAAATTTATATCATATCGAAATGACAACATAAATTCATCATGTATTGTTTTTTGCCAAAATGAATGGAAAATTTTGGATCTATGTTGTAAACATTTAATAGGTACTTCTTATATTCTAAAATTTCATTATTTTTCACGTCTGTTATCAATTTCTATGCTATTTTAATGGATCTTAAGATATAGCTTAATGATTGAGTGGTGATGGTGAAATGGTGCAATTATTCCAATCTATTCCATGGCGGTATAAGTTTATTGAAAAAAAATTACCATTGTTGATAAGATCATTACGATTACTATAGCAGTGATAATAATTATGGTTGGAGATAAGGTTGATCGTGTTGTTTGCAATAATCGTTTATTGGCAGCGTATTCACACGATATTCCACCACGAAAAAATGGACACCTGATCAATTTATTATTGATTATTACTATATAAAAAAGGCATTGAAAAAATGCTTTTAGTATCTGCTTTTTACCAATCTTTCTATCGAGATTTCGAACTCTATTGAGATACAGCTATATAGTTTGCACTATTAACTTATTATAGTGAAGTGCTAGCTACTCTTAATCCAGAGCTCGAAGGTTTCCAAGAGGCCTATGGATAGATTTCGAAGGAATCACAAGTTTGGGAGGGAAAACGCCTCTTAGAAAACGAGCTGGTTGAATAACATAGTTGAATAGAATAGTTGAATAGACAATGTTTTTCATTTAAAACCAGGCTTTATCGAATTATGCTAAAATATGAAAACGGAAAAGGAAAAAGAAAATGAAAGGCAAAAAAAAAGAAAATTGAAAAGTTTTAGCATAAAAATTAATTTCATTGATGGCATTTTTATCAAAATTGATCAAAATTTCAGAATTATAGATTGGTTTTTGACCATCTCGTTGATAAAATTCATGAAAATTTTCTTTAAATAAAGTCATCAAATGTTTTATTAGAATCAAGTGAACGAAACCATTATACAAATCATTGGCACTTGCATTATCTGCATTATTTATTTATTTATTTTTATTTATACGACTTAAGTCACATACGAAAATGTGATGAAGCGAATCATTTGTTTCCTTGAAATATCAGGACAATTCTTGGATTATATCCACTAGAAAAAATTGGATTTTGAAAATGGAAGGTTAATTGATTAAGTCATCCACTAGGAATAGTATAGCTGAGCTTTTGATGCCAAGAATGCTGGTTCTCGATTCGTATAGCTATTTTCATATCTATTTTCGAGAAGAGTAAACTTTCCATCATAAAATCCGTGTTATTTATTTGCTTTAAAAACTAAACGATTTGAGAGTGAAAAAATTAAAAGGTTCCAAGGGCATTAAATCTTCATTTGAAACTTTACAGGAAAATAGGATGAATAAATATTCCAAAATGTTAATTGAATCTTTAACAAAAAAAGAATTTTATAAAGATATTTATGATGCGTAATCCATATTTGGAATAATGAGACCGAGACGAGTTACAACCAGCGTCACAATGCAGGATTAAAAAATAAGAGTAAATCTTAGGATCTAAACTCTAAATGCAAATGGTTCCCTCGAAAAAATTGCTTATATTGACAGCCAATGGAGAAAATCTAACGAGAAATAGTCTGTGGTTGGCTATTGTAAGAAATATAATAGACTGGCGCATCACCATTACTTCTCATAACCCTTTTTTTTCCTTATCATTTCTCACCAAATCAAACTTATCAAACTTCATAACTTTTTCACTTTAATCACTTTAAATAATTGTTATCAACCGATTATTATCGGCTATTTTAGCAAGTTGATTCATCGTCGTATAATGCGAAATTAGGAATGAATTCGAAAACAGTCATTTATTTACACTAAAACTCTGCAAAAATATGAATCGACTCGTGATGTCCATAGTTCATAAATTTTAGCCAAAAATTCTTCAATTTTTATGCAGTAAAAATTAAAACCAATTGAAGATAGTGACATCATAATCACCTTTTAGATGAATATCAGCACGGGACAGATAGCCGTATATTGTTCGTTCAGTACAGAAAACCTGCCATCAGAAATCTGGGTGTATTTTTGTATTATATTATTATCCTTATGTGAGCCTTTGCTTCATAACTTCATCCTAAAAGTCAATGGAGCCAGCCGAACTAAAAGGCAGTGCTGCTAGAATAAATTGGGTTTCATCCAAGTGTAAAATGAAGAAAAGTTATTTCAGAGGTGAGATTAAACTCACTTGGATATTATCGCCGAATAAAGAAAATATATCCACTCAACACTAAAGATTTCAACTCATAAAACCTACCTCCTAAAAACTGTAATTAAATTTTACTGACTTTTCTTTTCGAATAACTTTTTTTTCTTGGAAAACATTTCATTCCTCGTTAAATTCACTCTGTTGGCTTGTCAGCCAGACAAATTTTGCCGATTGGTGATAGTTTGCACATGAATACCCATCATTACACAGGAAAATTTGACTAACGGATATAAATATAATATTTTATAATATAATATTTATAATATAGCAAAAGGATGTAAATAAAATGGTATATTATAAATTTATTATAAATACTAATGCTTCATGAATGGAAATAATGATATCATAAAAAATTTGCAAATTTTTTAAAAATTCATGGAAAAAAATTTAAGAAGAAATTCATCCACAATTTGCTAAAAAATATCGCACAAACAATATCAAGTTCATTTTGACTTTTGTTAAAAATCGTTATGAATAAAACGACCATCCCGGAATTAAAATTATTAAAATATTATAGTAATAATAATAATAATAAAAGCTGTATTTCGCCGAGTTATTTTCTAGAATATAGTAAATTAATTTCATCAATTTCGTTTTTGAAACTATTTTAAACAACTGCTTCAACTTTTTTGAGCTAAAATAAATGCAAAAATTTAATCTTTAATTTCTTTTTCAAATCTGGTTCAATTTTTTGGAAGGCAACCAATCTTTATTAATTTTTAATTCTTAATAATTTTTATCATCAATCACCGTAACATTTATGAATTCCTATATTTACATTTTAATTTTTAGTTAATCGACCTTAGTCGTTTATTCCTTCTCCGTTAAAAAGCCTAAGAGGATTATAATTTTTTTCGGCAATGAAGATAAACTCGATATGTAAGTGCACAAAAAAAGGATAATAATATTATTGCTGGTGATGAGAAACCATCTGTGCTTTAGATTATCTCAAACTAATTCTACAGCGGAAACGTCGCATCTTAATAGGAGTGATCAATGGTGTTATATAAGAGAATAATAATAATAATTACTAATAATTTAAAATAATAATAATGATAAAGAGAATATAAAAAGGTAATAAATAGCTATTCTTTTTCTTAATTTGTTTTCGAAATTTCTTAAATTTAAAAACATTACTAAGCAAATATTTTTAGATCATTTTTTTTCTTTTTTCGACTTTATGGTTTTTTAAACATCATATGCATGAAAAATTTTACCTGCATTCAACTTTTCCGGTATGTGCAGTAAAAAAATTTTCATCGGCAATGTTAGTGAACGTCAAATTAAAGAGATCACAATCACGCAGCGACACATTTGTCGGAATATGTAACTGAGGATTTGATGCAAAAAGTCCACGATTAAAAGAAGCATTTAACTGATCACCTGGTTGTGAAATTTTTATTTTTATTGGTTAAACAGTGAATAAAAACAATTACTTTTTGAAATCGAACTTTTGCATTTTTTAAATAGAATTTTACTAGAGAATTTTTTTATTGTTTATATATTTTAAAAGGATTTAAATCGAGTTTTATTCATCAAAAATTTAATAAAATTTGATTGAGTCAGAAAACGGAAAAAGAATAAGAAAACTGGCTTGCAATTTTTAAGAAAAAATAGCAAAAGTTAAAGATGAAGCAAATATTGTAACACTTCATAAACGAAGCTTAATATCGTTTTAATCAAAAATGCTAATATTTGCTGTTGTAAATTGGCTTTTTAATACAAGTCGTGAATTTTTCTCTCTTTGAACGGAATAAATTTGTTGAAAGAAATGTTCTATTTAATTTAACAGGAGAAAATGGTTGTATAGTCCACTTTTCTTAGGTCAATCCACTGTGACACCGTTAAAATTAGAATCTGGGCGCTGCTGGCAATACAATAGTTCCTAAATGACTTTCAAGCTAAGAAATCTCATCATAATCGCCAGTGAAAGCCAAACCGGAAATAATGAGTTGCGAAACTAGGAAGCAATAAAACCTTTGTATATCAGAATAAGAAAACAATCTATAGCCATCCTCGTTGTTTATTTCAAACTTAAAAAAACTGTATTAGAAGAATCGTATCAAATTTTTTTCAAAATAAAAATTCTCAGAAAATGTCAGAATATATTTTTTTTCTCTCGTTTTATTAACTAAATCTATGAC